AACTCTACTATTCCATAAATAAAGTGAAGAAAATTCAGAATCTGTAAAAAGTGTACTTAAAAGCATTTATTAAAATGTAAAGTATGCACAGTAATCTGTAATAAGCCGAATAACAAATATTCACTTATACAGCAGAGACGGTTTGATGCACACTTAAAAAGTGATGCACTGAATTTACTTGATTCAAATTACACACTTGTTTCCACATTAATGAAATAATTTATGTAAAGACATTTTTTTTAATTCATACAGAAACTGCAGACACATTTGAATAAGACTATATCCTGATAAGATTGTATCCTGATAAGATTATAGCCACATGCGTTTACACTTGGTAGTCAAATGTGTCTCTGGTTTATTGCTTTGCGGGACGAAATGTGCAAATCCGCTCATTATGTCTCCAACTGTTTATCCGTTCAGCCTCTTCCTGCCTTTGCTAAAGACAGTTGCTGCCTTGAAATTTTTAATTTTGCATGCCGTTGTGCATTTCTTCAAACTTACAGGAACCATGTGAGACTTCCATGATTATCTTCTGGGAGGGGTTTCGGTTGTCGTATGTGTCTTGGAGAGGCAGATGTGTTTACACTGCTATAAAGTGGCTCAAATACATCTCAGTCCACCTCCTTTAGTGGTTCAAGTGATTGAATTTATATGGGTTTTAATTGCGTCTTTGGTGCGTTTACACTGGCATTTTTATGTGGCTTGGACTTAAATATAATCCTGATAAACCCAGAGCGTCTTAACTTCAGTTTAACCGTCTGTTTCTATTGTTTTATGCAGTGATGGTCAGCACAGCTCACTATAACCAGCATAATGACGCTCCATTTATCTACACTGAAAACGGTGCTTTGATTTGTGAGTTTTTTTCTAACAGCGTTTAAAAACCCCAGAAGCTGCAGACTCGATCTCCACCGTTCCTCTGATTACCTTCGTGTGTTAATGTTGATGATGAAATATTACAGTGATGGTGGTGAATAATGAGGAGACGGAGCTGAACGTGTGTCTGTTCATTAGGAGGAATAACATTAGCTCGCTCGGCTAAAGCGTTTGGGAAATGGAGACTGAAACTGTGGAACTGAGACTCCATATTCTTCACTCTCAGTTTATCGCGCTTTAGTTTTACTTGACTTTCTTTACACCACTAACGGTAGCTAACGTCAGCTGTCTGACTAACTAACGTGATTACGTGTTTACGTTTCAGATGGTTGGTTGCCAGGAAACAGACACGACAATCGAGTAAGTTAAGATTTCCTAACTCAAGATAAGATGCTGTAAGATAAGATTCCTAAAGATCAGATTTGCTTCTGTAATACGAATTTGTGAAAAATCTTATCTTGACCTGTCAGATCTTAACTTAAGACAAAAAGATAAGAATTTTCTGTAATACGGCTCCTGATACTCAAGACACATTAAGTATCCAGGTGTAAACAGGGTCTAGGTTTTTTCAGGGTTGTACTGCTGCATCATTTAAGGTGGAGTGGAAAATGCAAATAGGGAGCCATCATCTGACTCCAGAACGTAACTGTGGCACCACTTAAGGTGGAGCGGAAAATTAGAATAAGTAGCTGGCAAATTTCAGCCTCGTTGTTCTCCAACAGGATGGTGTAGGTCACATATTAGATCAAACACAATTAACATATGGCCACATAAACATCCAGCTGATCATCTATGTGCCTGCACTCCACAGGAATTCAACAAAGAGGTGGTCATGTGAAGGCACTGCTGGTAGTCCACTGTTTCGGGACATGAATATCAGTGTTACAGGGGTGTTCAATTCATGACACCACATCATTTAAAGTCCAGTTCAGTCCTCCACAGCGCTTTCATACTGGAGTACTGCTCTTCACGTCTGCATGTTCGCCCTCTTCTCCAGCTCCCACTGTGCTGCGATCCGAGTGCCATAGATCACGTAGCTCCAGGACAGAACCACGATGGCCAGCAGAATCTGATGGAAAGAGAAACACAGCCTGTTAAACTGGATAGAAGTAAAAAACAATGTACGTTAAAGACTGAATAACAGAGCTAAAGCCTTACGTTACAAACGCTTATCTCTAAAACTTAGAACCTGTAGTGAAGCAGCCGGCTGCGTCCAAAACCACATACATTACATCACGAATGTGCCGGTCGCTCATTCTAGCCGTAAACGTACAAATGTTTATTGCAGAAACCTTTAGCCAGTGATGCATCAGGTGTCGCTCAAACAGACTGGAACCCAATCAGAACCATATAAACAGTGACAAACCGGTAAACAGATAATGGCTGCACGTGTGCTAGAACTGAGAAAACTGGAAAGGTTCTAAGTTCAAACATAAAAGTAGCCAATACATCATAAATACAGGAATAATATGAGGTTAAAGTGTTTAGTTAACAGTTTGCAGACTTAAGTAAAAAACTAATAATTAAAAAATGAAACAAGCCAAAACAACCATCAAACAAAAACAGTCTCTGTAATTTCGTGTGTTCGATCATTCTGATTTGGATTTGGCTCTTTGATTTAGCCTGTTGCTCCTGATGGCTGCCTTTTCTGGGATTCTGGCAGTACAAGAATTATATGAATGGTAAGAACTAAGTAACAGTAAAATAAAAACAATTTAATATTTATAAACTGAATAGTTTGATGAATTTTCCAAATTCAGCTTTAATGTGCCAGTATTTAAACGCATAACCGGTTAGTCAATTAACTGAAAAAAGAAAACTGACAGACGAACCGACTGTAGAAGTAACCATAAGTTACAGCTCTAATGGTGAAAAGTTAATATAATATTTATAACGGTCTTTGAAGTGTTATCAGCTTTTGACCCTGAATGAATCTCACTGAGCTCCCTTCTCTACACAGTGCACTGATAAGGTCATTAACTATGGCTTCTACACCAAACAGTGGACTGAATGTTGGCTGGAGAGTCAAACAGCTTATGGCTGAATATAAATGGCTTTCTATTCACAACACAACGCACTGTTTGACCTACATTCTTAAAATGACCTACATTCTTAAAAAGATGGTTCTCTAAGCATTCTAATAAAGGGAATGGTTCTATTTAAGCCATGAGTTCTATATAGAATAGTATGGTAAAATGGTTCTCCAGATTGACGGAGACTGTGTTGTTCTATCTAGAACATTTTTGAAAAAGGTTCTATATGGCAACAAAAAAAGTTCTTCTATTGTTACTGAGCTTAAAGCCGTGATAATAACAGAACCCTTTATGGTGCTACATAGAACCGTATACAACACATTCTCCATCACTCTGAATGAAATGGTGAGAATGGTTCTATATAGAAGACCTGAGTTGTTTTCGCTGGAAATAACGGTTTGGGTTCTTATCTTCTGTTCCTGTCAAGACAATAAAGGAAAAAAAACCCTCACCAATTCAGAAACTCTTCTGTAGGTCTGAAATCCTGAACTACATCAAAAATTAAAACACCTGGCAGAACAAGAGGCTTAAGTCAGCTTCTTGCTCGAATTTTCCCGTTCCACCTTAAATGGTGCAGCACTTACCGCACTTCCATTCTGGCGCCTGAGGCGTTTTATCAGTAACTGCTGCATCATTTAAGGTGGAACGGGGTCATTCGAACAGCAGCGTGGCGAATTACAAGCTAACTTCGTGTGCAGAACCGATATATTTGCATTAATTAAGGCAGGGGAACGTGTTACAGGCTGCTACTCTGGAGCAGCGATCCGTTTATGTGTCTATAATGTCCAAACACTCCGAAAAGGCCAGGTTTTAATTAACCGGCGATGCTAACCGCTCATACTAAGAGCCGCTATGCTAACTGGCTGAGAAGTTAGTGAAAAGAGGCAAACTGAACATTTCAGAAACACTCACGACTGAAAACACTCTGTCCAGGCAGCGCCGGCTGACAGACAGCATATCAACAGCGCTGCTTTTATTTAGGCAGAGAACAGAAAAGTAACACGGCGCCGTTTAGACAGACAAGCTAATCTCAGCTGAGCGTCTCAGAGCCGACGGTAAACAAACGAGCGGCGCACAGCGGCTTTACCGCCGCCCAGTGGACACAGCGGGAACTACAGATAAACAAAGAACACTCCATATTTTCTTTTTACCGTTCCGTAAAAAAATAACACAAACATCATAGACAGCTGGTCTATTTATGACATACGTGTATATATTAGTGAAAAAAAATGCTCTTTATCCTTACAGAACGTTTTAAGTAAATCGCTGCATCTTACATCACCGCGTTTGCAGGTGAGTTCACATTGAATCAGCCATAAATTCTAAAATATTGGGTATATTTTAGAATTTTAGGCTCAATAAATTACCGTGAACATTTTTTTTTAAATTCAAAAACGTGTGAATGATTTGAACAATCATGTTCAGGGTTAAATGTACAGCTCCAGATTTATATATATCTACAGATTTATATTCAACCGATTCAAATGAAGGGCGATACATATACATCCGCACATCAATAACAAATTAAAATACAACTAAAACTCATATAAATGAAAAAAACACGACAACAACAACAATAGTAATAATAATAATAATAATAATAATAATAATAATAATAATGATGATGATGATTATGTTTTACCAGTATATAAAGTCACACATTCGTATGATCCGTGTTACTCAGTGCAGTGTTTTAATAATTTTATTTAACAGGAGAGATTTTCAGCTTTTTGTTCTGTTGTATTTATGATAAGGAATCATAAAAGAATTACAGGTCATTGCCAAATTGCCTTAAATGAGGAACCGATGCCGTGACTCTCTGGATGGTTGTGTGTTTTAGTAACAAGTAACACTCAAATCTCTGCGCTCAGAGAATTCACAGAAATAATCAGTTACAAAGAATAAATGTATTTATACAGGTACAGATGTAAATAAGGTGTAGAAACAATGTAATACAACAGACATGAACGCAGAAACGAAACGCTGTCATACAGTGTAGATGTAATTTAACCCCGAAGCCACTAGAGGGCGCAGGCACGCTGCAGTTCACTCCTCCCGAGCGGCAGGTGGCGCTGCGGGCTCCGCGGGCTCGGCTGGGTCCTCCGGGTCTGTGCTGCTGTTTTCGGTCGATGGCTTTCCTCAGTAGGTTTAGCCGATGACTCTCTTCACTCTGGGCGGGTTTTTCTGTCCATCTGCGCTTCGTTTTGTCGGATAATCGCAGTTTTGCGCCCTCTGCGCCCCGATGGACGCGAACAGCGGCGCGGATGGAGAGTTTAGAGCCGTTTTAAGGCGGAACTGCGGCGGGAATCCGGACCTTCTGAGGAGGCTGTGTTAGCGCGGATGCTAACTCGGACGGTGAGGGAGTGTTTAGCCTTCAATAACCGACAAAACAATATCAGAGGAAACATCAGTGACGGGCTCAGATCTCCTGAGTATGAGGTGCTGATCAGGTCACTGAGTGTCGGAGGAACCATCAGAATAGAGCTTCACTACCGAGCCTGAAATCGGCTTCCTACTCGCCAGATTCGTGTTCGAATTCCCCCTTAAACGGTGCAGCAGTTACATTGCGGCGCATCAGAGTAACCGCCGTACCATTTAAGGTGGAACGGGAGAATTAGAATAAGAAGCTGACTTCAGCTCAGTGCTTTACTAACTGTTCACCTGGGCTCTGTGATGGTCACGTTCAGCAGGCTGGATCAATACAGCTGTTATAAAACGACAAACATCAAAATAAATGTTCTGATCAATTTCAGTGTTTTTAACTGTTCTTAACTGTCCAGATTAGCTGGAACGGCGGGCAGAGACGGTTCTGGAGCTGTATGAGGCTGAACTGCAGTGCCTCAGTAATGGGAGGCTTTTCAGGTGCTATCCAGAACACAAAATGTGGTCATTATTGATTAATACAGCTAGTTATCCTGAGGGATACTGTCACTGGTCACTTTATCAGGTCCTCCCACCACTCAGAGTGGGCAGTATCATAATACTTCACACGGTGTGCATCAAAATATTTAGTTTTGTGAGATTTGATAAGACCAAAAAAAACCTGTCACATCAACATACTGTAGCAAACCTACAACTCTAGTGATTTTTAGTGTTTCACGTACTGTACTGCACTAAATCCAATCAAACAGATCTAATCATGCTTTCCTTGTAACAAAATGTGCAGTTGGTCTGGGTTCTTTAAGTACCGCTGATATCCACGATGTGCTGAAAAGCATCATGATAACGATAAAATATAATCATATTGCTATCACTGCAGTGCTGAGGATGATCCACCACCCAAATAATGCCTGCTCTGTGGTGGTCTTATGGAGGTCCTGACCTTTGTTTAACAGGGTAAAAGAGGCTAACAGGTTACATATGGATTACAATGTGTTACTTGTAGTGCAACTATATGGTAAGTGGATCTTCTCAAACGGACACTGTGTACGTACTTGGTAGGAGTATCTACTAAAATTGTCAGTTAGCATATATCTCTAAATTAATGCGGTTTTATACATAATATTATAGAAATGTAGTTTGTGAGTTGCAAGTTTCAGGCTTGTTAATTTAATAATGTCTAATTCTGTTTCTCAGTGCCAGTGCTGGACAGGATTCCTGACTAAGTTTCAGACAATACGTAACACACAGACGTGCTTCACAATGTTGGTTAACGATGGTTTAATTAATCCTTGTGTGCACAAGAAAATGTGGTATGACGGCTGTGTATTGGAAATATTCATGTGGTGTGATTTATTTGTTCTAATTAAGCAAAATGTTTAATCATAAGTGACTGGGGGGTTTACTTCCATCAGTCCCCGATTGGTCAGGAGCTCGGCCATGATTCCTCCAATAGCTGTTTATGATCCTAAATCCCAGACTAAACCTGCCCTGGAGCAGGTTATTCATGCAGTATGAGTTACTGTGGTGATGCAGCCTGGTAAGAAGTGGTCCACTGTCATGAGACAGAAAATACAGAGTTAGACTGAGCCAGAAATGTTGCTTTGTGAGACCCCTGGAAGCCCATTTTGTATTTATTTTCGTGTTTACTTTGCTCCAACATACTTAATTGAACGGGTTAGTTTGAATGAGGTTATAAAAGAGCAAGATGTGCAGTGTATGTGGTCTCTAGGACTGAAATGAAGCACCTGTTTCTTTAACTGTTTCAATTATATCTTTCACCATGGAAGTTTGCCTGTGTAACGTTTGTGTTTATATTCATATATTTTTGTTGTCTTGAAGATGATGACGCCCACAAAGATGAAACTGCGCGTGAGGAAGAAGGAGAGTGGGGCGAAGTCCTCGCGGCGCCTCCTGGCTGAGACGTCGCCAGACTCCAAGTGTCCAATTTGCCTGGACCGCTTCAACAACGTGGCGTCCCTGGATCGCTGCCTGCACCGCTTCTGCTTCCGCTGCATCCACGAATGGTCCAAAAACAAAGCTGAGTGTCCTCTGTGCAAGCAGCCGTTTCGCTCCATATTCCACTCCGTCAAGGCGGAGAATGACTTTAAAGAGTTCGTGCTGGCGCCTGTAGAGAATGGACCAGCAGCGGCAGCTGCTCCCCCTGCTGCCCAGATAGACATTGGCGCTCCCCCTGACCGAGTTCGTCGCCCGAGGGCGCCGCGGGGCGGGGAGAGGAGAAGTCGGAGGCACCAAAACCCAGCCACTACTGCCTCCTCGCTGGACCTGAGGTTGGAGAATTTGACAGAGGGGATGGAAGAGACAGTGGGCCGAGAGCAAGGTGTCCACCACATGATGCTTCGATTGACGGAGCGCCGGCGCTCACGAGGTGAAGAGCGCAGCCTCCGACGGCTACGGGACCAGGATGTTGTGGCATTCCGGCGGGCGCTGTACCGGACAGGCGTACGGGTACGCAGTGGCGGCTGGGACAGTGGCAGGCAGCGGGACGTCTCAGCAGCCCACCTGCGGCGCAACCCAGCCTGCCTGCGGCGGCTGCTGCCGTGGCTCCAGCGGGAACTGACGGTACTGTACGGTTCCCACGGCTCACTGGTCAGCATCGTTCAGCACATCATCATGTCCCGCATCACGCACTATGACATGGACGATGCTGCCATTCGAGATGAGCTTCGCCCCTTCCTACTGGCGCGCACTGACCACTTCCTGCATGAGTTGGTCAGCTTTGCACGCTCCACGCTCTCCATTGAGGCTTACGACCAGCAGGCTGTCTATGAGTGCCCAGCCCCCAGCTACGAGGAGGACAGTGGCTCTGACTCGTCCATCATAGCCATCTCAGAGGTCTGACATATTAATTCAAAATGTCACGATCAGTGTTTTCGAATTCTGATCTGCACTTGGAAAGAGAGGTCAATTCACTGTGTCTCAGTTTTAACATGTCAAATTGCTTAATCTCTTGTTCTGCGAGTGGTGATGTGGTCTGTGCAGTGGCCTCTACATACTGTGTTTAAAGTTGGGCTGCAACATTTGGTCGTTAGTTGTCAATAAGCTTAAGGATAATATGCTTATAACTAAAGGTGCTTGTTGATAAAATGTGTTAGTGCTTGACCTGATTTTGACGTCCCCGCACTATAATGTTAACATGATATACGCAGCCACTTCGACACACTGCTGTGCAGTACTGGAAGTGTTGGTGATTTTGGACAGATTCTACATACAAAACTTTGATTGATGATTGTTGCAAAAGTAGAGGTAACTGCAGAAGTCGTAGTGGTTTGATCAGTGGAGATGTATTGATTACAGGTATTAGATATGCACCGGTATGGGAATTCTGGGCAAATGGTGATATACAGTCTGTTTTTATGCATACACTTAATGTAGATATTATAGCACGGTGACCTTAGAGTTGTCTAAACATTCTGCTCTTTCAAAACACAATTAATGTGTCATCAAATAAAGGTTAAATATCAGTCTGATGCTGATATTTAATTAATTTTTTAGCCAACATTTTCCAGTACAGATATGATTCCAATGTTTAATAGAAATAATTGTTGGTTGTGGCTCTAGTTTGGAGGTAACTGCAAATTGCCAACCTTTTTGTGTAAATGAAATAAAACTTGACATAATAATGTATGTTTACTGTCTGCAGCAGATAGTAGACTAACCAAGAAGCACTGACATTAATAACATAAATGTGGAATGTAATCGAGCCAGTCAGCATTTTATATTTTAAAACAAGCCAGCTTATTGGTTCATGGATGCTGATAAGACTGACTTCTTAAGTATTGTAATGTGTTATTGAATTACATGGAGTTGTTTGATACTCAGTAGTATTGAAGTAATTCAATTGGTACCATGGACGTATCACATTTCGAGCCTGACCATATATGTATTTATAAAGCAAAATGTAGGCACTACAACTGAATCCACCTGTATTAGAAGGAAGACATTTATCACATTAGCCCAGTGCTGCCTAAATATTCTGCTCTTCCAGAATGTGTTTAATCAGTGAATGGTTTGATATGTAGGTCAAATCTCAACATCTTTCTAATGGCGTTAAAATATTAAAGTGTGTGTTTATATATAATATCTCTAAACTATACTTAATAAGTTTAACTGCAGTTAAAACATACAACTTATTCCCTGTCTCTGGTTCTTCCTGTAGGATGATGATGACAGTGAGGAAGCAGACATCACCGAGGCCACTGAGGAGCGTGTTCCACCTGTTCCCATGGCAACAGGTGGTGAGAGTTCACTCAGCCAGTCTGGCTGGGACGATGAGACTCCTGGCCCTTCCTATTCCACCCTCTTCCCGTCTCCCAGCCAGTCGCAGGCAGAGGGGGCAGAGCCTGCTTGTGATGTGGTTCAGGCAGATGAGGTGGGCCGTGCCAGTGGAACAGCTGGCCCTCATGAAGATGAGGAGGAGGAGTGTATGATTGTGGGTTATGTGAAGCCAATGGCTGAGCGGACTCCGGAGCTTGTGCAGCTCTCCTCCGACTCCTCAGAGGAGGAGCAAGAGGCAGTTGCCACGGAGATGGCAACAGCTGCCACGGTACCAAAGGCGGAAGCCTCGTCATCCCAGGCGCAGGCTCCACTGTCCCCTGAGTCATATCAGAGACCCCTAAGCCCCTCCTCCTGCCCATACCCATCTGCCTCACGCAGTCCAGGTTTAAACACTGACAGGGTGAGTCCACAGAATGCAAACTCACGCCAATCACACAGCGGAGAGAGAGACGCTGAGAGACACTCCAGTCTCGGAAGAAAAGAAGAAACTCCACACCGTTGCTTCAGAGATCGTTCACGGTCATGCAGCGATAGTTCAGTGCTAAGTGGGAGTTCTGGACACAGCCGATCCTGCAGACGCTCTGGTTCTTGCTCCAGGCGTCAGGAGCGATCGACCCATCGAGAGTTACGGAGGTGGAGTTGCCAGTCATCAGGGCTGAGTCCCACTGTTTCAGTTGCAAGTGACAGCTCTGACTCCTCTAGGTCTCCCAGCTGGGAACGGCCACGATCCAGAGACAGGCAGTGTCCTGACAAGTGCGATGAGGAACAGGAGCACCCTCGTTCCGTTTCTGCAAGAGAGAGGTCACCCCAATCTTCCATCTGTTGGGATTCGCCTGTCCATGGAAGTGAGCGAAAGAAAGCTAGAAAGAGGAGGAGGCAAGAGAAAGAGAGAGAAAGAAGTCGATCTCCTCTTCGAGACTATTCAGCTTCTCATGGCGGCTGTCGTGATTCACGCCACCGCCATGGCCGTCGTGAGCACCGCCTCCGAGTAGCTAGCCACTCCAGCAGCCGCAGTAGCAGCAGCAGTGAGGACTCTCAGCCGGACCGGCCATGCCCAGAGAAACCTGCTGGCAAGCGTAAGTACAAAACTCGCCACCTGGAAAGAGCGGCCCAGCGCCAGAGCAGCCGGAGGTCCAGCAGGGACAGGGAGCGCCGGGAAGCACGCAGCAGCCCAGCCAAGAGGCGCCACAGAGGGGATCGTGAACGCAGCCGGAGCCCTAGTGTTGAGATCATCTTTGAGAGGCGGGCCTCTGACCCGCCCTCCCACACGCACCGCTGGAAGAGAAAAAGACACAAGAAGAGGAGTCGGAGAGAAGCAAGACCTCATAACTCGCCCACTGTTATCACTATAGAAAGCGACAGTGACACCAATGACTATCAGGACTGTGTTACTGAAGTTACCAACAGAACCACTGACTGTCAGCAACATGAGGTTACCAACAGCAAAATTCAATATCAGGGCCGTGTTATCAAAGCTACAATCTGCAAGACTGATGATCAGCACTGCACAGACGTTAACAACAGAACCACTGAGGATCAGCACCTTGTTACCAAGGTTACCAACGGCACCACTGATGATCAGCACTGTGTTACCAAGATCACCAGCAGCACCACTGATGATCAGCACAGTGTTACCAACAGCACCAGTGATGCACAGCATCATGTTACCAAGATTACTGACGGCAAAACGGACGATCAGTGCCGTGCAACTGTGGTTGTAGACAAAACCACTGACCCTCAACACAGTATTACAAAGGTTACTGAAAGCAAAACTGATGATCATTGTTCTGCTACTGAGGTTCCCAAGAGTCAGCGCAATCAGTACCATGTTAACAAAGTTACGGATAACTGTCACAGGTCTGTGGTGGATGTTACTGATTATGCAGTCGATTGTCAGGACAGTGTTGTCAAAAGTAGGGACCCTGTACCTGAGACACCGAACAACAAGATTGGTGCAAGTTTGTCTTTGAGTACTGCTCTTCCCTGTTCATCTCTAGAGTCGTACAGCCCTATGACTCCCACCGAGCGCCTCTTGGACTCTGTGGACTGTGCGTTGAACTTGGAGATGTGTGTGGTGGATGTGGTGGACCGAGAATCTTTCAACCATTCACAGCAAAGCACAGACCCAGAACAGCCTGAAAGAGTCAATGACCTCAGCCAGGATGCTTCCTTGACTTCAACAACTCCACCCTCGGACACACATCTGCTGGAGTCCATTCTGCAGGAGCTGGAGGATATACTGCCCGAAGAGGGGCAAGGGGCAGAACCTATACAGGATTCTGCTGCCACAGACAATGGGGTTGACCAACTGGAGGACAGGATTGTGCCTCCCAGGGACCAGTCAGACACAGAGAGGGAAAGAACAGGCAACACTGAAACTAGTGACTCACAGAAAGGTGTGGTAACCAGTCCTGCTGTCTAGATCTACAAATACAGGAGCTTTCACATAAAAGGCTCTGCTGACGTTCATTCATAAACAAGCCTGTTCTGTCTCTTCTTTGTAATAGTTTGTCTTTTCTTATTTAGGGCTTTATAAATGAATCTTCTCATCCGTGGTCTGAGTAAGCAGGCCAGCATAAGGAAAGAAAACATGGAATCATTTATTATTGTTATTAATGTAGTATTTATAGTACCTGTGATTACAATGGACACAACCTCTGCCTCAGACCTGGTGCTGACCTGCTGTGCCATAAAACGCTTGTGCGCCCACATCCACACTACACAATACACACCCTGCTAGACCCCCGTTCTCGACTGAAAGTGTTGTCTGTCTTTAACTCAGGGAACATGTGGCAAGTGTCCACTTCCTTAATAACCATCATGCCTCTTGCACAGTGTGGATGATCACACTTGCGTGCTTTTTTCATACCTGTCGCCAAACTTGAGCGCCTACTCTAGAATGCTGATTCACTGTAAGTGATCACACCCGCACGGTCTCTGCTTGGTTCTAGACCGGGGAAACAGACAAAGATGTTCTTTCTGCTGCCCCTTCCATAACAAGCAGAGAAATAAATGTTGCATATGCAAAAAAATAAATAAATAAAAGCTGGTTTTTAACTCTTGACTGAAGGCACTGCTTTCTTTTTTGTCTGTGATGTGAGTCCTGTGTGACTACATTTGTAGGCTGCTTGCTGTTGGACTTCAAGGGGGCTTCCACAGATTTTTCCAAATTTTCCATGTAATTAAGTGTTTAAGCTGCTTTAACGTGAAAGGTTCCCATTTAGAGACATTCAGGATTTTTTATAGTCAATGCACGGCATACAATGAAATTGGATAACGAAGCATTTAAAAATCACATGGATGGTTGAGCTGTGAGGGACATTCATTCACCTCCTGACATTAATGTGCATTTTTATTAACCAACATTTTTGTGTGAATTTGTTCAGGAATAAAACCTCAAGAAAATGTTATATGAAATGATCATATTAAAATTGCCAAATTTGACCTCATTTCCAGCTCCAACTTTCTAATTTTCGGTTACACTTTTTCTTTTTAGTGGATCCCTTCATTTCTGAGGAGATCATTCATTTGCCTCAAAGTTTTGCTTTCGTTTCCTGCTCAGCTCTGTTTCTCCCCTCCCATCCTACCGTTTTCCGGCAAGCCCCACCTACGGCGCTACAATTGGCTAGTGGTGTCTGTCGTTCTGCGCTAACGGGCGTGACTTTAATTTCCTCGCCAATGGAAGCGTCTCCTGGCTGACAATACTAACCAATCGTAGGGCAGGGGGCGGGGCTTGCCTGAGTATAGGTGGCAAACAAAATAAAGTTCCACTGACGGTTCCCTGCAGAGACCAAATTTCAGTTCATCGATTAGCAGCCAAGATGTACGAACTGGAGAAAGAAAACCTGCGGTGCTTTAGTCGCTACATCATCCAGATTTTACGGCCGTCCTACATCAGAGTTTTCATGACTACATATCTGGACGAAGGTGAGTGCGGTTTTCAGTTCAGCTGCAGTGAAGCTGCCCGTAGTCCCGACGAAGTGTTTACGTTTACCGTGTCAGCTGCTGTAACTTGGGCTGAAAGCCAGTCTGCATGAAACCAGCGTTTTAACTGAAATCAACACCCACTAAAACACTCTGCTGGTTCCATTAGTTCCTCCAAACTGTTACCGCTGAGGTTCGGTGTTTATAGACGATGAGGGGCCTTAAATAGCGACTACACCGTTACTTACGGTACTCTCGGTCTTAAGTTATATTATTAGACAGACGAGTGCTTTAAAGATGACGTAATATCACTAATGTCAACTCGTTCCATGCAGAGTAATATTATTATTAGTCTATACGGGTTGCATGAGACGTGCGTTGTGTTGTGATCTCTAGCCGCCACCTTTACAAAACATTAGGATTAAAACCCAATAGGTTTGCTTTCGAATTTGAACTCGCTTAATGGTTTCTAAGAGAGACCACTAGTTTCCTGTAGAACACCTTTAGGTCCCTTTAGGAAACTATCAAATGCATTTAGAATCAGCCATGATTCTGTTAAACCATTAGGGTCCTTTACACTGTGATATCAGCCCATTAAAAAAGCCAAAACACATTACAAGACCATTAGAAATCAACAGCAACACTTAATGGTTATTTCCAGCAGGAAGAGGTAACAACAACAACAACAATAATAATAATGATAATAATACATTTTCAACGTTGTTATTTATGCATCTATTTAAGTAGCACTTTTCAGTTTAGTTACGTTACAGAATGTCAGTGTTTTACACAGGAATATGAATAAAATAATGCAAAAATAAAAACTCTAAACTCTAAACCTCATGTGTCAAACACAAGGCCCGCGGGCCGAGTCAGGCCCATGACACAGTCCTATTTGGCCCACAAAATTATTTTAATTTTCTGTTCTTACTAGTCCGTTTCACCCTGAGATGCACTACAGTCCCCAGCATGCACTGCGACGTAGTGTGTCTTCTGACCTCCTTCCCCCAACAACAATTTATGGACCAGCAGTTACACAAAAAGAAAAGACTAAGTAAAATAATTTATTTTTATTTAGAATTCTTTTTGAATAAGTATTTACTGCCGATTTTGCTGTTGCAGTTTTGGCATGGTTTTAATAAACAATGTTTGGATTGTGGCAAAATGTTAAGTAAAAACAGATTTACTGAGATTTTTTAATGTGGCCCTTTTAGTGGTTGAGTTTGATGCCCCTGCTCTAAATGAAAGTAACAGCACAATTACAGACCACAGGCGAAAATGACCCACGGTACACCAGGCATATGCTAGCTTAAACATATGTGTTTAATCTAGATCTGAAACACCAATCAGTGCTTTAAGTGCTTTAAAAGCAAGGCCTTGTAGTCAGTGTGGAACTAAACTGGAAGGCATTGCTAGCTAAGGAAGACTGGAGTAACTGCTCAAATGATCTTACACACATTGTGAATCAGCTGGAGCTGATTTAGAGAGAGATCAGGGCGACCAGGCAGCAACACGTCACAGTAGTACAGTCTAATAGTTATGAAATATAATTACTCAGCATCTTGTTGGGTGAGCATGTTTGAGAAAAACTAATGATTATATGGTAATGAGTGAATTCTAAGAGCTCCAGAGTTATCAGTGGTTGGATGTTGTCTGTAAAGTAGATTTGCCTAACAAACTCGGTGTATAGTGCACTATGTGACCTGGGTTGTAGAGCGAAGGAAGCCTTTTAAATCAGGCTCAGACACTGAGTACATTTACATGCGCTTAATAATCCGATAACTGCAGAAAATCGGATTTTGTCAGTAATCCGATCAAAGCGTTTACATGCTCTTGAGTAATCAGATAATGGGAAAACTCCAGGTCTACATGAGTCAGACAGTAATCAGATTTCTGCTTCGCAAACAGCCAATAAACTCACAGAAGAAGACATGACGTAAACATAACGTAAAATTCAAACTTCATGCTGCAGCTTTTTTTTTTAAACATTATGAACATACATCATCTAGAAAATGAAGAATATTTAATCCTTTATTGCGTCAAGCATGTAGTTTGTTTTTAGCGTCACTCTAAACGTGTTTTTAGAGTGTTTGCTATGTCTCGCGACAACGCTGCTCACTTATTTCCGGTACCACCGTCTGTTTTCGCACATGCTCAGACTGAGAAATCCGAAAGAAATCAGAGTAAGAGTTTACATGCACTGAGAAATCTGACTACTGAGCTAAAATCCAGCTCTCTGGATTATTTAATCGGATTTCTAGGTCTTACTCCGATCTAAGAAATCAGAGTGTGCTGTTTACATGATCATTTGAATAATCAGATGGTCAGAAATCTGATTATGATTGGATTATTGAGTGCATAAACGCACTCATTGTTTAGAGTCTTTTACTCGCAAAATCATGTTTTTCTATGGTGCTTAACTACCACTGCTTCCCTTTTCCCTGTTCAGAGTCTGTAGAGAGGATCCTGTCAGAGGAGAAGTCGTCAGTGACATCGGCAGCTCAGATGCTGCTGGAGAGGATGTGGCAGCTGGAGGAGGCCGGCTGGTTTCAGGCCTTTCTGGACACTCTGCACACCTCGGGTAGGTCCAGTAGGGAACGTAGAGGACAGTCTGCCCCTCTCCGGTCATGGGGGACTTCCGTGCTACACAATTTGATCCAGTTGTTTTCAGTCTTAAAGACCTCTTAATTTCCAAACCAGTTCTAGGTTTGCATTATACAGCACTGTGCAAAAGTCAGAGACCCCCCTTTATTTATTTCTTTATTATGAAAACATCCATTAAGTACAAGTTGGTCATTTTTCAGTGTCAGGAAAACAGCTTCTATTCTTTCCAGGAAACTCACTTTCAGTTCCTCAAAGAATCTTCAGCCAAATCTCCAAAGTTCAGTCTTAGAAGCTGGTTGATCATTTTCCTAAGTAATCAAACACATTCAGTGGTGTTGAGGTCTGGACTCTGGGGTGGTCAGTGCATTGTTCAGCTTCTTTGTTTGATGTGTCCGTCTCCTTTTCTCAGTGAGGTTCTTCTTGACAGCTACACATCCTTTCAGACCCACAGCGCTGAGTCGTCTTCTCACAGTGGAAGGATGGACAGAAACACCTGTGGATGTTTTCAGATCTGAAGCAGCTTGATTTTCTCCTCTCTCTCAAAAATGAAAGCTTTAAGTGCTGTTTATCTGATGTGGGCAGTTTTGGAGTCGACCAGGTCTTCCAGGTGGTTGTTAGGAGGAACATTTTCTGTGGAGCATTTAAGCAGTTTTTAAACTCCAGTTTTGGAAACTCCTGTTTTTTCACTTGTTTTCCATTGACTTTCTCCTTCCTTTCTCTGTAGATCTAGTCTTAGAAATCTCTCCCGATAAATTGATAACTTTTCATTAAATACGTAAAGGTTGATCTTGAACTTTTTTCGGTACTGTATCCGTATAAAAATCATCTTATTCTCAGTGACAGTTGAAATCCTTCCTCTTTACAGTGGTGATTTGTGTGTATGCAGAATATACAGGACTGTATGCAGCGGTCAGCAAGTGGGATTTCAAGGAGCTGGATGATATGCAGCCTTTCAAGAGGCTGTTGGATCGCATTGAGCCATCCATCACCAAAAACATGAAGCCCAGAGAGCTGCTGACACACATGAGCGACTGCATCACTCAGAGAGAGTGTGAAGAGATCAGAGCGGTAAGGAACACACACACACACAGCTTCGGGTCAGTCAGTGCACTGATGAAGTGTTGGGTGTACTTAATTCAAATGTGTACATCATTTGCATATGAATAAAATAAACTATATTAACACAGTTACTGCAAAAAGTGAGTAAACTAAAAATAATGTAAATATATGTAAATAATGTAAATAAAAATAATGTAATAATGTGCTGCTGGAGTTTAGGGGGCTAACAAAGTATCAGAGAAACAGATGGACTACAGTCTGTAACTGTAGAACTACAAAGTGCACCTATATAGTAAGTGAAGCTGATAAAATGGACAGTGAGCCTAGAAACAAGGAGGTGGTCATAATGTTATGCCTGACCGGTGTATATCTGTGTGTACGCGTGGGTCAGGTGGAGGATCAGTCTGGGTGTGTTGCAGCGAGTGAGCGGCTGGTGGACAGTCTGAGACGTTCTGATAAACCATGGTTTAAAGTGCTGAAGATGGCCCTCGAGGCCTGCAGCCAGAAACTCGCCCTACAGCTCCTGGAGCCCAGTACAGGTCTCACACTTTTCTGTACTGTTTTTTTTTACTTAAATATTTCGCTGCTGTCAGGACAAAATCTTGTATCTCCTTTCGTTTTTCAGTTTTTGACATAATTTGAAAACGCCTGCTGCCCTTTGTATTGTATGTACATTTCATGATATATGGACCAAAAGAAATGGCCCAAAATGACTTGGAAAAAATTCTGGTTCCATTGACTTACATTAAAAGTAGAGTAAGTTTTTCCTTTCTCCTGTAAAGTTACTATTTTAGAGATACAAGGTTTTGTTCTGACAACAGCGACAAGTAGTTTTTCAGTTGTTTGTGCTCTTTTACACTCAGAGTCTCATGTCTTTTTTCAGATGAGAGCGAGAAATGTGTGTCAGAGGATGAAGAGAACATGGACACCATGACTACAGTGCGTTTTGAGTATAGAGAGGAGGGAGAAAGCGATTGTGGTCTCTTGAAGAGCATCAATGAGATCAATCATACTGACTGGCTCAATGAGGGTGCAGGTACACCTTAACACACGGACATATGCACACCACTTTCTAATACATGCATATTTTTAATACTTTAATTCGGGTCCTAAATGTTAAAACACAAGCAAATGACGATAAAACCCATCTCCACAATAATGCTAATTTCTCCACACTCCTATGGGAATTCCAGTGCTATGTTAGCACTAAGCTAATGCAGATGCACATTTTTGGCTGTTCTAGATTTATTATAGACATTTTAAGCTTGTGGCAAACATTTTATATATTTTATTTGAAGTTTGTAACAGACATTATCATATATCAGAGCTTGTAAGTATCAGTTTCACAGTGACTCTTTCAGTAAAGAGTCATGACAGAGCTGCCGCCACTACTTTCCATTCCTAACAACCACCTGCATCTGCTTAGACTACGACTCGTATTCACAGTCAGTGACGTACCTAGAGCTTCCACAAGTACTAGAGCGACACTTTTACTCACAGAATTGATCCCACTGTACGTCAAAATGTGATTGGTTGATTTCTCTGTGACTTCCTAATTATGTTGGTAGTTAATTTAATATGTAAGGCCTTCAGTGCAGCTCCTGAAGTCCTAACCGATTGGAGAGCTCGCTTGGCTGTTTCTATCGAGATACCACAGAGCAAATAAATTCCTGATTGGATAATTTTCTGTTTGGTCTCTCAAGATTTTATCCTGTTTGTTTCCAACAAAGACTGAACAGTAATATAATGCAACATATGCTGAACCCCGTGTGTTTGTTCAGGGGTCATGGCCGGTGTGATTGAGAGGGCAGCAGAGAGGAAGCTGAGAGAGTATCAGAAAGAGCTGGCCACCGCCGCCTTTAGTGGACAAAACACCATCATCTGTGCTCCTACCGGTAATGTGTGTGTGTGTGGGAGGGTGTGGGTGTGGGTGTGGGTGTGTTTCACCCACTGTGTGTTTTGAAGCCTGTCCTTCAGGTTCACCTAAACCATGTTCAGGATTTCTTATTATTTAGTTTGGGAAAGGTTGATGACGGGAAGCAATCAGTGCAATGATAATACACAAAGTGCTGTATATAAAATTTGACAAGCATTCAAATCCATAGCAAACATCCAGGAAAAGCACTGTATCACTGTATTATCAATTAGCTGTGACTAGATAAAGAAGAAATGGGAAATTAACATGTTTATTTATTTTTTAATTCCTTATATAAAATCATTTTAAATGCACTGTGACTCTGTGACTGTGACTCTGTGACTGTGACTCTGTGACTCTGTGACTGTGACTTTACCACCTAATTACACTGAAACTTTATCATTAGCTCACAAGTCTAAGTCAGTGTACGGCTGTAGTGGATGTATTGTGTGTGTTGCTGTTGTAGTGTTTGTGTTCTTGTTTGAATGTTAATGGGGTCTTGTTGTTCAGGTTGTGGGAAAACCATCGTTGCCTTGGCGATCTGTGAGCATCACCTGAAGAAGTTTCCTGGGAAGGCAAAGGTCGTGTTCATGGCAACCAAGGTGGAGGTTTACGAGCAGCAGTACAAACTCTTCATCGAGCATTTCAGCAAAGACCCGGACGTCAGGCAAGAACACACACACACACACACACACACACACCACATACACACACACACACACACACACACACACACACACCACACACACACACACACCACATACACACACACACACACACACACACACACACCACATACACACACACACATACACACACACACACACACACACACAACATACACACACACACATACGCACACACACACACACACACACACCACATACACACACACACACACACACACACACACACACACACACACCACATACACACACACACACACACACACACACAACATACACACACACATACGCACACACACACACACACACACCACATACACACACACACACACACACACACACACACACACCACATACACACACACACACACACACACACACACCACATACACACACACACACACACACACACACACACACACACAACATACACACACACATACACACACACACACAACATACACACACACATACGCACACACACAACATACACACACACACACACACAACATACACACACATACGCACACACACATACATGCACACACACACACGCACACACCACGCACACACCACACACATACACACACACACACACAACATACACACACACACACACACACACACACACACACAACATACACACACACACACACAGCACACACACACACACCCCATACACACACAAAAACACAACACACACACACAACATACACACACACAACATACACACACACACACACACACACACACGCACAAACACACACACACACCCACACACACACCCACAAACACACACACACACCCACACACACACACACGCACCACATACACACACACACCACACACACACACACACACAAACACACAACACACACACACACACAACATACACACACCACACACACACACACACAAACACACAACATACACACACATACGCACACACACAACATACACACACACATACGCACACACACAACATACACACACAACATACACACACACACTGTAAAATGTGCCAGTTTTGCTCACATTTTTGAGTAAGCAGTGTGTGAAATACCCCCTGGTATTCAGGGGTCCCATGTTGGCTGGCTGCTAACTCACTCGCCATAGCAGCACTGATGATTCAATGGCAACAATGTGTTTTGTTTAACATTCTTCTTCTAGAAATGCTCTGTTCTAATTTGCTAATGCGCTCTTCCTCACATTATCTGGGATCTTATGAATCTTCTTTTTTGTCTATTTTTGAGAAACGAGTAATGATTCACTTTTTTCTACCAAACTCTTGTGAAACCAGGCACGTTTTCAGATTTTCAAATATGCTGCAGCATAATGTAAAGTTTCTCAGAGGTATCCTGGGCATAGTTACAGCTGCTGGGCTATGAAGGACAAACTGAGTGAAAGAGTTTACAAGAGCGCCACCCTGAGGCAGAGCAGTGCTGCAGCTCTAGTTAGTTAAGAACACCAAAGACAGAAGCTCACCGTTTTGTGGCTGAAGATTTGCAGACAAATGTCATATTTAAGAGTGTTACCTTCAGAGAATGTGTTAACTAATTTTCCCTTACAAGTAAATAAATAAATAAATATATACACCGATCAGGCATAACATGATGACCACCTCCTTGTTTCTACGCTTATTGTTCATTTGATCAGCTCCACTTACTATATAGGTGCACTTTGTAGTTCTACAGTTACAGACTGTAGTCCATCTGTTTCTCTGCATACTTTGTTAGCCCCCTTTTACCCTGTTCTTCAGTGGTCAGGACCCCCATGGACCCTCACAGAGCAGGTACTATTTGGGTGGTGGATCATTCTCAGCACTGCTGTAACACTGACGTGGTGGTGGTGTGTTAGTGTGTGTTGTACTGGTACGAGTGGATCAGACACAGCAGTGCTGCTGGAGTTTTAAATACTGTGTCCACTCACTGTCCACTCTATTAGACACTCCTACCTTGTCGGTCTACCTTGTAGATGTAAAGTCAGAGACGATAGCTCATCTGCTGCTGCACAGTTTGTGTTGGTCATGTAATGGTAAAAATGATGGCAATGACATTTGTCATTATTTAAATGAAGCTCAGTTTGTTTGTGTGTGTGTGTGTGTGTGTGTGTTTCAGGGTGACGGGTGTGTGTGGTGAAATGGAGGTGTGTATGCGGACAGTGGTGGAGAGTAACGACGTGGTGGTGTTGACCCCTCAGTGCCTGGTGAACGCTCTGCAGGCTGGAGAGCTGGAGTCTCTGCAGGTCTTCAGTCTGCTGCTGCTGGACGAGTGTCACAACACTACAGGAAAACACCCCTACAACAACATCATGAACCGCTACCTCGACATCAAACTCACCGGCAGCACACACACACTGCCTCAGGTCAGACTGGTGCACACACACACACACACACACACACACACACACACACACACACACACACACAGGTCAGGCCAGTTCAGCCTGTTAGGCCTCGTGCAAACGTATCCGGGATATTATTTCCTATTTAAAAAAATCTTTTTCCACACCAGCAGTGTTTTTAAAAACCTCTCCATCCACATGAAGGAGATTATTCTAAGGCTGTGTTCACCCTGCCAGCCCAAGTCCGATTTTCGGCATACTCAGATTGTCTGATGGACAGCAAAAAACCACATGAAATCTGATTTTTGCAAATCGGATTCACACCACATTTGGAAGTGTTTGAAATGCGATTCCAATCCGATTTTTACAGGTTTGTCTCAGTCTGGATTCTCTGGCCGCTCAGACTGGATTTCAAGGTGTCTTTTGCGTCACTTGAAATGCAACGAACATCTGCCTCACCAGTGTAGCTACACAGTTACTGACACCTACGTCATTACCACAGCAACCCATGCAGATAGGCAGGTGATGTCTGGACACACAAATCCGATCTGATCGCCTCAAAAGATCTGATTTGAGAAACAAATCTGATTTGCCTGCAGTCTGAACACAGCCTAATAGGCTTTGCCTTTCAGGCTCACAGACCTCCATAATTCAACATCTCACACAGAGTCCGGTTTCTGCCAGAAAATAAAAGCTTATAAAAAGCCTACTGCTCGCCGCCATGGGGTTGTTTAAGTTGCCATGGCTACGCATCCATCTCTGAAACGTCCACACAGTCCTGATCAGGCAGAAAAGATGAGTTTAGCTCTTCTGAATCGCGCTGAAGTATAGAGATGGGATTTTTTTTCCAAATCTGATGTTTTAATGATCATCATATCAAATCATGTAACTTCAGAATCCATGAATCAATTATTTGCAATCGTGGATCAGAGCTTTTAGCACTGTTAATCAACACTGAATAAAAAAGTGAATTACATCCATAAACTGAACATCTCTCTCTCTCTCTCTCTCTCTGTAGATTGTAGGCTTAACAGCGTCTGTAGGTATCGGTAGTTTTAAGAACCAGCAGGAGGCGGAGATAAACATCTGCCAGCTGTGTGCCAACCTGGATGCCAGGGTCATCGCCACGGTTACCACGAATATAGATGAGCTGAGGTCATACGTACACATACCTGAGAAAGGTGATCAAATTATTGGGCTGTTTTTGTATGTATGGTTTTATTGTCTGTGTTCCTGTTGTGTGTTAGTAGTTCACTGAGTCTCCTTTGAGTGTTTAGTGTGTTTTGTGGTGAGATTTGAGATTTGATGATTCATCTTAATATAATGTAATGTAATGTAATATAATCGAATTGATTGGCTCTGAGATTTATACCCGTCTGAGAGTCCAGTTTGGTGAGACAGATGGAAGGATTTTTATGTTCTAAATTGGAAGAAGATCCAAATCAATTGGTGAAGTATGAGGATTGCTGAGTAATACACAAAGTTTGTGCACCCCTGGTCAAATCCCAAGTTTTGCTGATTTTCTATGTGAACGTAATCATATAAGCTATTGTGTATTTGCTGAATTTCACACATTGGAAAAATAATAGAACACAAAATGTGGCCTGTGCAAAAAGGTGTTGTTTTACATTTATTTATTTATATATTTTATTATTTTTTTTTAACCAATATGTCAAACTCACCAAATAAATAGAAATTGTTCCCTAAAATATGCAGAAATGTGCTCTCCGGAAAGGATGTGTTCACTAATTTACACTTAGAAAATCAACAAAATATATAATTTGACCAGAGTGTTCAAACTTTTGCACACAGCTTTGCAAGACCATGGCATTATTTATTATCACTATAACAGCTTTTCAAGCCCCCCATCTGTCCCAAGAACTACCACCAGAAGTATCCTGACTCTACCTACACCCTTATTTATAGGGGGACACATTTTGGCCTCAATAATTAATGATTTTTTTTCTGACCAGTATTGCAATTTAAATGCGATTATCTTCTATAAATTAATCCCAGGCCTTTTATTTTGCCTGGAAGACCAGCACATTGGTTTTTCAGACTTGAGGCATGAACACTGAATGTGGCGTTCCACACTGCCAGTTCACAGTGTTATTAGGTTATTTTCCCTCTTAAAACTGGTTAAGACAATTTTGAATAATGTAAGATTTAATTAAAATTGAAGCTTTTGTCATTTACATTTTGCCCTTTTTTCAAATTGTAACTTCAATATAAAAATCAATAATTGTTCTACTTATTTATACTTATCTATCAATCAAACAGGCTGAATTATAGTACTTTAATATGTGCTTATGTGTCTGTTTTGTGTGTGTGTGTGTAGACTTTTTTGAGGTACCCCCCCGCACCTCGGACCCTTTCATCAGAATCATCAGTAACATCATGAGTAACATTGAAGAGCTGGCCAAGAAAGTCTACAACATTGGTACCAATACTGCACACACACTGTTTATTCCTTTTAAACTATCCAGGCTCCGCCCACAAACATATTACTTTGCAGCAACTGTGGTGAGGTTAGACAAGCTGAGATGTGTTCTACAGTTTCTCATTAGGTTGAATGAATAACCGACTCTAAATGTAGGTATTGTGATATAAACCGAGTCTGTTCTACAGTTTCTCATTAGGCTGAATGAATAACCGACTCTAAATGTAGGTATTGTGATATAAACTGAGTCTGTTCTACAGTTTCTCATTAGGCTGAATGAATAACCGACTCTAAATGTAGGTATTGTGATATAAACCGAGTCTGTTCTACAGTTTCTCATTAGGCTGAATGAATAACCGACTCTAAATGTAGGTATTGTGATATAAACTGAGTCTGTTCTACAGTTTCTCATTAGGCTGAATGAATAACCGACTCTAAATGTAGGTATTGTGATATAAACCGAGTCTGTTCTACGGTTTCTCATTAGGCTGAATGATTAACCGACTCTAAATGTAGGTATTGTGATATAAACTGAGTCTGTTCTACAGTTTCTCATTAGGCTGAATGAATAACCGACTCTAAATGTAGGTATTGTGATATAAACCGAGTCTGTTCTACAGTTTCTCATTAGGCTGAATGAATAACCGACTCTAAATGTAGGTATTGTGATATAAACCGAGTCTGTTCTACGGTTTCTCATTAGGTTGAATGAATAACTGACTCTAAATGTAGGTATTGTGATATAAACTGAGTCTGTTCTACAGTTTCTCATTAGGTTGAATGGGATTTTTGTCTAATGTTCAGTAAAGCTTGTCCAACTTTGCAACAGTAGCTACATTAATCTGCATTTTAATTCATGAAAACTCTAAAAGTAATAATATGATAATAATGTATTTCTGCTTCTTTTGTTTCTCTCTCTCTCTCTCTCTCTCTCTCTCTCTCTCTCTCTCTCTCTCTTTCTCTGTATCAGAGACTCTCTCGCCCATTGTGAACCGTGATTACGGCAGTCAGAAGTACGAACAGTGGATCGTGGCTGTGCAGAAGGGCTGTAAGCTGCTGCAGCTGGACGACCCTGAGCAGGAGAGGAGAGTCTGCAGGGCTTTATTCAACTACACCGAACACCTGCGCGTAAGAGAGATAGAACGAGGGAGTTTCTGTGGGTGAAAGAACGAGAGATTGTGACTATTAAGATGCCTTTAATGGATCAGTTTGCTCTTTTTGCCCACTGGTTACAGTATAACAGCCTCTGAGCCGGCAGCCTTGAGCATAAGTGGAGTTTGAGTTTTGTGCTGAGGTGAAACGCAGCCACTTATACTGACCTTACAAATGTATTAGCATTGCATTTGAAGATAACTTACACTCTGCTTCTCTTTAAAGCGCTTGTACAGCACATACAGACCAATCTGACGCTGAAAAAACACCAAAACTCAGCTGACCTAGATGTCTAGAAGTATTATAAACCAGGTTTTAGCAAAACAATCACACCACAGTATTTTTCGTATGATAAAGCTATTCTGGCAGCTTAAAAAAAAGACTTTAATCTTTTTCATTTTTTTCTGCTCATACATGATGATCAAATGGTAGCTTTCCCTGATAGTTCAAGTAAGAGAAACAAAACAAAACAAACAAAATAGTTCAAATAAAACAAACAAAACTAGCAGTATGTTCTATGTATCGCTGCTTTCGGAACAAAACCTTGTATCTCCATTTTGGTCATTTTTTAGTTTTTGACAGTTTTTGAAAGTACCTGTTGTCCATTATATTGTGTGTAAATTTCATGATGAATGGACCAAAAGAAACGACCCAAAATGACTTGGAAAAATATTTGGTTCCATTGACTTACATTAAAAGTAAAGTATGTTTTTTCCTTCTCCTGTAAAGTTACTATTTTGGAAATACAAGGTTTTGTTTTGACAACAGCGATATATATGCGCATATATATATATATATATATATGCTTTTGCACACTACTGTATACTCTTCATCTGCAGCTCTGAGTGTAAAAGCTGCGAGCCTGCAGGTCAGTTTAAGCCTATAAACGGGCCGATACATCACCGCTTCCTTTAGACAGTGATGCCCTCTGCGTCTCTGTTAGCGAACCAGCAGAGGCGTTCAGCACAGGCAGCTGCAGGGCGGACGCTGCCGGACCGCTCATGATCAGCAGACGCTCCCCTGTGGGATCCGTGGGGAAAGAGCCACGTCTGTTTTCACGGCCTGTCAGTTTAGCTGCAGGGAATCGCAGTGGCTCTGAGCTCCACTCAGAGAGAGAGAGAGAGAGAGAGAGAGAGAGAGAGAGAGAGAGAGAGAGACACACACACACACACACACACACACACACACACAGAGAGACACAGAGAGAGAGAGAGAGAGAGAGAGAGAGAGAGAGAGAGAGAGAGAGAGAGGAGTGCTGTAAACCAAGTCATTCAGAGAGGTTTGGTGTGAAATGGTTGATTGTAGAGACTCTGGTTTCTTTACAGTGGTGGTGATAGGAACCAGGAGTCACCATGTCTACAACACAAATATAGCCATTTTATTTACTATCCAGAACCACCAGTGAACCTACACGAGTCTTCTGAGTTTATGTGAATGTTGATGATGGTAAAGTAGTGGAAAAGTTTTCTCAGGGGCTATTTTGCTGTATTTTGCCGTGTATCCCTCCATCATGAATTGATGTAAAAATGTGTTTTAGGCCGAAATCTTCTCGAAAATATCCTAAAACAGTGTCTCAGTCGTCAGGCAGTGAATTCATAACCATTTCATGTAGTATCTTTCTGTGAGGGAGCTTTTAGAGGTGGACGTCTGGTTCCTATCACCACCACTGTGAACAGTTCTGACTGTAAGTTTCTCTAAAACAGAGCGTTTCACACCAAACCACTCTGAACGACTCTGAATGTCTGTTTACATCAGATCCAGTTCATTCTGCAGTTGTGTGGAAGAATCTGTGGATTTCCCTTTTAAAGGATCTCTTTAAAGTGGTAGGATCCAGTGATGGAGGTTACTGTTTGCGTTGAGTGTGATGATCTAGGCGTGCAGTTAGCGCCATGTTAATCAGTGAGCTAATAAGCTTCCATTACTTGTTAGCTACATTAGCCTCCTACCTGCAGTGTTAAACTAAAGAAGCGAACTGCAGACACTGAACATGTCTTGGCTTAAATAGGGGGAAGGTGGTCGTGAGTAATCTGAGTGCTGTGGTTTTAATGTTCACTGTGTCCTGTTGTCAGAAATATAACGACGCTCTGATCATTAATGAGGACGCCAGGACCAAAGACGCTCTGGACTACCTGCAGGCCTTCATCGAGCAGGTCCGCAACGCTGGCTACGACGACACGGAGAGAAAACTCACCGCGTTCTTCGATGGTACTTTTTTACTTTCATTACTATGTGAGAAATGTTTACTGTTCTTCACCGAAACTCCAGAAGAGGAGAGTTTTACAGAGAAAGATTAGATTTGTTTCCCTTATTTAAGATATTTATATTCGAGCTGTGAGGTTTTTCTCTCCTTACCTTCATTATTATCTTAAATCTTATTGATCATTAATTAATTTTAAACTTTATCATTCATTTACTAATCTTTAGACTTATTATTCAGTAACTAGCATCAATTATTCCATATCTACTGTTAATTACTCTGTCTACTATGAATTATTCAGTAACTACTAAAAAGCATTGTGTATATACTGTAAGTTATTCAATATTTAGTATAAATTATTATTTCTCCTATTAATTATTCAGTAACTACTAAAAATTAGTCCATATAAACTTTAAATTATTCAGTGTGTATAGTATAAATTCAGTAACTGCTAAAATTATTCCGTATATACTGTAAATTGTTCAGTATATAGTATAAATTATTCTTTTTGCTACTATTTATTCAGTAACTACTAAAAAGAAGTCTATATACTTTATTCAGTATATTGTATAAATTATTCTTTCTACTATTAATTATTCAGTGATTACTACAAATTAGTCCATATAAACTGTAAATTATTCAGTATCTAGTTAAAATATTCTTTCTACTGTTAATTATTCAGTAACTACTAGAAAGTCTTCTGTATGTGCTGTAAATTATTAAGTATATAATATAAATTATTCGTTCTACTATTAATTATTCAGTAACTACTAAAAGTTATTCTGTATATACTATAAATGAATCAGTATATACTGTGAATGATTCACTGTCTATTATAAATTATTCTGTATCTACTATTAATTAATGCTTCAGAAAGTACTATAAATGATTCAGAAACTACTGTAAATTACTCAATATATAAGCCGTGTAGTTATTAGAGTGACCCAGGTCCCTGAAGTTGAAGCTGTTAACCTTTCTTTATTCTGAGTTTCTGATCTGCTTCTTTATCTCAGTCCTGTATTCGTCAGTTATATCGCCGTGAGAACAGAGCTGGTCTCAGGTCGGTCTGTGTCTCTGCTTTAACGCTCTGTGTGGTTCTGGTTTATCTCTCCGCTGCAGCTCAGAGGGATCAGTTTCAGCGTTTGGCCACCGAGGGGCAGGAGAACCCCAAACTGCAGGAGCTGAAGTTCATCCTGGAGGAGGAATATCGCAACAACGATCAGACCCGCACCGTGCTGTTCGTCAGGACCCGAGCCCTCGCAGACGTCAGCACGCTATACTTCTATCTGTCTGTCTCTCTGTAGATCACATCACTCTTAAACTGGTGTAGATGTCTGTCTGTCTGTCTGTCTGTGTTTAGATTTGAAGATGAACTGTTGTAGAAATAGTTGTGTTTGTTTAACAGGCTCTGAAAAAGTGGATAGACGAGTCAGAGTCTCTGAAGTTTTTAAAGCCTGGAGTTTTGATTGGAAGAGGTAGAAGATCGTCTCAGCTGGTGGGCTCAGGTACACACACACACACACACACACACACACACACACACACACACTGTATTTCTGTATTAACCCCTTAAAATCCAGGCTTATTACATACTAAGACTTATTGTTCAGTAACTACAGGGAATTTAATGCAAACTGGTTGAGCTATTCTTAGCTTATAGAAGTGTGTAATAACACTTTGGGCCTGCCTGTTGGTGATGGCCATTTAACGTGAGGTTGATGCTGAGCAGTACTGTAAATACATGCATTTTAAAGTGATTTTGTTCTGAGAATTCAGGTTTTAGTGTTTTAAAAGCTTTTAAAGTTTTGTGCTGGAATATTTTTCTGGATTGTTTTAATACCAGAACACTGAGGTTTTGACAAAAACTTTATTGTTTATTATTATTGGCAGGTAAAAGTTTTTATTCATGTTTTTACAGTGAATAAATATGTTCTTTTTTTTTATTAACATATTCATAGGTTAGTTTTCAAATGTGGTAAATTTACTGAGTTGCATTACTTTTGCAGATGCTGTGTAAAAATACGGAAGATTACTGTATTTGATTACAGCTTATTACTGTCAGTGTAGAGCAGCTACATCACAGTGATCTTGTGGTGCAAGTGACTGAGGAGTCCCAGAGTACAGCTGCTATTGTACTGTTATTCACTGTTAATATGGGTTAGTAATGCAGCTAGTAGCCAGTAAAGTACTGTAATTTTACAGGGAAATCTCTATCGTGTACAGTTCACTCAGTTCCCTGTTACACATACCGTGACTCCTACATCAGACAGTGCTCCTCACCTCGGTGGGTGAGGGGTTCCCCTCTCAGACCTCTGACCAGGGTGAGGCGTCGCCGGGACTCAGATCTGCGCCACTCAGGGTCCTCAAATTTCTGTGTCCAAAGAAAGAATGAAGAGGTGAATTAACTCAGCAGCTGAATCAGCTGTGCTCACTTAAAGAAGGGCTACCCGAGGCTCCACATACTGCCTGGCCACCAGGAGATGAGAGATCATGATCTCAAATCCCAGAGACGCCTCAGATTTCTGCAGTCAGAAGTCTGAGAGGAGGAATATATACGTTCATTTCAGTTCTGCAGCTGCTGAAGTCTTCTGATCTGATGTGTCCGATGTGTTACAGGAATGACCCTGACCAGTCAGAAAGGCGTTTTAGACTCCTTTAAAAGTTCTGACCAGAGTAAGATCCTCATCGCCACATCTGTCGCTGATGAGGGCATAGACATCCCACAGTGCAACCTGGTGCTGATGTACGAATACGTGGGCAACGTCGTAAAGATGGTGCAAGTTCGAGGTGCTGTAACTCACTCAATACAAATACACATGTACTGGGTTTTATTCATATAAATATTTGCAGGTTTAATTACATATATATACACACATATATATAATCCACATATATATATATATATATATATATATATATATATATATATATATATATATATATATATATAATCCACATATATATATATAACATTATAAAATGTATATAGATATATATATCTTCACTGACTGGCAACTTCATTAAGTACACCTGCCTCTTTGTTTCTACATTCTCTGTCCATTTTATCAGCTCCACTTACTATATAGGTGCACTTTGTAGTTCTACAGTTACAGACTGTAGTCCATCTGTTTCTCTGCATACTTTGTTAGCCCCCTTTTACCCTGTTCTTCAGTGGTCAGGACCCCCATGGACCCCTACAGAGCAGGTATTATTTGGGTAGTGGGTCATTCTCAGCACTACAGTAACACTGATGTGGTGGTGGTGTGTTAGTGTGTGTTGTGCTGGTCTGAGTGGATCAGACAGAGCAGTGCTGCTGGAGTTTTTAAACACCTCAGTGTCACTGCTGGAATTTGAATAGTCCACCAACCAAAAATATCCAGCCAACAGCGTCCTGTGGGCAGCGTCCTGTGGGCAGCACACAGTGTTTAAAAACAACAGCAGCACTGCTGTGTCTGATCCACTCATACCAGCACAACACACACTAACACACCACCACCACGCCAGTGTAACTGCAGTGCTGTGAATGATCCACCACCAACTGGGAACCTGCTCTGTGAGGGTCCATGGGGCCTTGACCACTGAAGAACAAGATAACAAGGTATGCAGAGAAACAGATGGACTGCAGTCTGTAACTGTAGTTAAACAAAACTGTATAATCCAGTTTATCTGCAGATACATGCTGGACTAACTGTACTCAGTCTAAAGCATCTTGAGTTGTGAAATCAGTGTTTCACGTTGTTCAGCCACTCAGTTTAGCCTCTAGGTGGCAGCTTTTCCCTGCAGCACTTCACTCACATCTGTAACCTGTTCTTTGTGCCCTGTGTGCCTGTGTGTTCAGGTCGTGGCAGGGCCGCGGGCAGTAGATGCTTTCTGATCTCCAGCAGAAAGGAGCGTATTGAAAAGGAGAGGCAGAACATGCAGAGAGAGAAAATCGTAGAGAAAGCCATCGCCAGCCTGCAGACCTCCCCGGAAAAGCTCCAGGCCAAGGTGAAGCCTGGGTTAGGTTCAACTACTATTGGTGAAAAAACTGATTAGAGCTTACAGATAGGCAGTAAAGCTTGAACATGTACTCAGAACACACACACACATATATATATATATATATATATATATATATATATATATATATATTGCTGCTGTCGGAACAAAACCTCGTTTGAAAATGCCTGTTGTCCTTAACATTGTGTGTAAATTTCACGACGAATGGACCAAAGAAACGGCCTAAAATTACTTGGAAAAAAGTCTGATTCAACTGACTTACATTAAGTTAAGTTTTTTCCTTCTCCTGTAAAGTTACCGTTTTGGAGATATGAGGTTTCGTTCCAACAATAGCTATATTTTATATATATATATATATATATATATATATATATATATAATCCAAAGTCTTCAGACTTTTTGCGGCTTTGTGCAATAAAAAAAAGATTAAAGTTTTTTCCCCATCATTCTGCACTCTATACCCCATAATGAGAAAGTGAAAACAGAATTTTAGAAATTTTTGCAAATTTATTAAAAAGGAAAAACTAAAATTTTGCATGGACATAAGTATTCAGACCCTTTGCTGTGACACTTGAAATTTAGCTCTGGGGGCGTCCCATCTCTCTTGATCATCTATGAGATGTTTCTACACCTTTATTGACCACCTGTGGTAAACTCAGTAGATTGGACATGATTTGGAAAGACACACACCTGTCTATACAAGGTCTCACGGCTGACAGTGCATATCAGAGCAAAAACCAAGCCATGAGGAGGAAAGAACTGCCTGTAGAGCTCAGAGACAGGACTGTGTGGAGGCACAGATCTGGAGAAGGCTACAAAAAATTCTGCTTCACTGGAACTTCCCAACAGCACAGTGGCCTCCATAATTCTTAAATGGAAGAAGTTTAGAACAACCAGGACTCTTCCTAGAGCCCAATGGTCCAGATGGGAGAAACTTCCAGAAGGTCAACCATCACTGCAGCACTCCAGCAATCTGGGCTTTATGGCAGAGTGGCCAGACAGAAGAGTAAAAGACGCATGAAAGCCTGTCTAGAGTTTGTTAAAAAAGCACCTAAAAGACTCTCAGACTGGGAAAAACAAGATTCTCTGGTCTGATGAAACCAAGATTTAATTTTTTGGCCTCAATTCTAAGCGTCATGTCTGGAGGAAACCAGGCACTGCTCATCACCTGCCCAATACCATCCCTACAGTGAAGCATGGTGGTGGCAGCATCACGCTGTCGGGTTGTTTTTCTGCAGCGGGGACACGGGAGACTGGTCAGGGTTGAGGGAAAGCTGAATGGATCTGCAGAGAAGAATGGCAGAAAATCCCCGAATCCAGGTGTGCAAACCTTGTGGCATCAAACCCAAGAAGACTGGAGGCTGTAATCGCCAGCAAAGGTGTTTCAACTAAGTACTGAGTAAATTTTCAAACATTTCTAAGTGCAGAATGATGGGAAAAACTTTTTTGTTTATTTTTACCACAAGGCTGCAACATACCAAAATGTGAAAAAAGTGAAAGGGTCTGAAGACTTTCCGGATGCTCTAATGACTGTGATTCCAAATTTTACATTTTCCAGAAATATCATTTAAAATTCTTCTTCTTTTTTATGATTTGGATATACATTCATAAATATTCACCCGTTTCATTATTTATGTTTGTCCTAGAAACAACTGTCAGCACAAGATCAAAATATCTTTAGGAAAACTGAAAAACATGCTGTCAGGTGTGTCCAGACTTTGGACTGCCAGTGAATTTAATGTTATTATGTCTCATATGTGTTTCGCTGTTGTAACAAACCCTCATACCATTGAAATGGTAACTGAATGAGGGTAAGGAATAACTTCAAAGGGCCCGTATCACTGAAAAAAAATGTTTTCTGCAATAAAGGAGTTTGATGTGATATGTAAACACTGTTAAAGTTTGAAAATGTAGTGGTCATCGCAGTCCATACCGTCCATATATGGAAACAAAGCAGCAAAAGTGTTTTTTGTGATGTCATGAATACCAATGCTATTCAGCCTACAGCTGTTTCCATTCACACTGAAGTTACGAGGAGTGTAAGTTCACATCCTCTACAGAGAACACGCTTAAATATGGCATTTTTCTGCAAAATTTGTGCAAAAAATTTACACAAAGTAAATAAGCAACTTGTTGCTGCATCAGAGTAACGAGCTCCGCCCACTTGCTGCACAGTCTGCTGTAAACCTCGCCTTTTGAAGTACAGACTGAGCCATAAAACTGCCACAATATCAAGTTCAGCTCAGTTTGGTCAGTTTTTGCCAGATCAGTATTAATGTTGTTTTGTTCCAGCCAGTCTGTAAAGCATCTTACAGCCCATTTAGTTGGCGAATGGTGTTGGGTTCATTTCTGGCTGATTCCAGGTTGTTTAGCTGCTCTTCTGTCACAGCTGCCGACTGAAAAGCTGCTCAGTGGTGATGACAGTTTGGGAATTTAGTGTAGCCTCATCTTCAGAGTCTGACCAAATCGGCTTTCGGTCAAATGTGATCTTAAAAGTGTCCGTTTTCTGTTTGTGGCAAAGTAAGAAGTAAAAACGTTCAAATGGTTTGAGCGTCTCCTACAGCTGTCAAAGCCGTTGCTTAAAAAAAAGAGTTTCTTGATATGATGGTGACGATATTTAAATGTGTGTGTGTGTGTGTGTGTGTGTGTGTGTGTGGGTGTGTGTGGGTGCAGGTGAATTTGTTCCAGAAGACTGATAAAATCAAGAGAGATTATATGAGCCTGAGTCCAGAGAAGCCTCGGACCGTGGGCAGTTATAAGCTGCTGTGTGCGAAGTGTGAGAAGTTTGCCTGTTTCAGCCACGACCTGCGAGTGCTGAAGGTACGAACCCCCCGAACACTAAACTCTGGGCCAAATAGGATAAATAGGACCTGTAATGGTAAAACACCAATGGCATTGCAGTTTAGTCTAAGACTAGACTTAATCCATGTCCACTAAACCCTATATGCTCTAAATCTCAGATCAGTGGTCTGCAGATATGGTACTGTGCCAAAATCAGAGGCCCTTCATTTGTTCAATTTCCAGTCAAAACAGACATTTAGTAAAAGTTGTTCATTTTTCAGGAAATGTTAAGACATTAGATAAAAGGCAGCCCACTTGATTAAGAAAGGAGAAAGTCAAAGTGACAAACACAGCTGGAGTTCAAAAACTGATTAAAAGCTCCAGAGAAAGTGTTCCTCCTAACAACCCCCTGGAAGACCTGGTAGACACCAAACCTGCCCCCATCAGATAAACAGCACTTAAAGCTTTCATCTCTGAGAGAGAGGAGAAAATCAAGCTGCTTCAGATCTGAAAACATCCACAGGTGTTTCTGTCCATCCTTCCACTGTGAGAAGACGACTCAGCGCTGTGGGTCTGAAAGGATGTGTAGCTGTTCAAGAAGAACCTCACTGAGAAAAGGAGACGGACACATCAAACAAAGAAGCTGAACGATGGACTGACCACCCCAGAGTCCAGACCTCAACACCACTGAATGTGTTTGTTCCACCAACTTCTATGACTGAACTTTGGAGATTTGGCTGAAGATTTCTTTGAGAAACTGAAAGTGAGTCTCCTGGAAGCTGCAATGGAGCTGCTACTGTAACAAAATTATTGTAGCATAATTATACAGTCGCCTCTGACTTTCTGTGGAGCGCTGTTTGCAATTCTGAAATACTCGACTGAATTTTCGTTTTAGAATTAAAACACCAGTGAAAAAGGGTAAATAGCCTTATTTATATTGCAACTTTGGCCGACAGAAAGGGCTGGAACTGTGTGTCCTAATGTATTCACACATTGAGAGCTTCAGAGCCTGTTTTAAGCTTTGAGTAATAAAAATCAGTTGAAAAAATATCCGAATCAGCCATAGAAAACTCATGGCCGCTGCATCCACAGTAAGAGGAAATGTGTGTAAATGTGTTTTTTTCAGTGACCTATTAATTTAATCGCTATAATTACCAAATCCTTCACCTTTAAACCCAAAACCCTCTATCAGCAAAAACCCTTTACCCTAAACACTAAACCCTAACCCTGTCTGAACCTCCTAAAGCATTAATCCCTTCCTGCTACAGCGAGACAATTCCCCACTCTCCTCACACTCTCTCTCTCTCCTCTCTCTCCTCTCTCTCTCTCTCTCTCTCTCTCTCTCTCTCTCTCTCTCTCTCTCTCTCTCTCTCTCAGGAGTGCCACCACGTTGTCCTGGACCGCTCCGTATTTCAGCGCTGTGCCACTGAGCCCCATCAGAACCCCAAGAGCTTTGGAGGAATCACTAAAACCCAGAAGATGTACTGCGCAGACTGTAAACACGACTGGGGCATCATCGCTTCATATCTCAGCATAAGGGTTTGTGGGCTTCTAATGAACGTCAGCTCACGCTAGCATTCCTCACTCTATATACACACTATATACTCATAAATCATAACTAATTTTCCTTCCGTGCTGCTCACGTTTCTGAGTGAAACAAGATGTCATGCAGGGTTCAGGCTCAGTGGCAGATCAGGGCTTCTAAAAAGAGAGAGGCTGGGATAAAAATTGCGGGTGAGAAATATACAGTAGATTTGTCCAAAGGAGCCACACATTCAGGAGAGAACCAACAGAAGAGCCACATTGACAGTAAATCACCAAACATGTATGCATTTAGAAAATATGCTAATTTATCTTCCACAGCCAGTACAGAGCATTGCATTCAAACCCAACTGTGTTAATCGATGTGGCCTTTTATATTGACCAGCAGGATCAGCGCAAAGTTTAGTTTCACTTAGTTTTTTGCTGCCTGCTGCTGTAGAAGCATGTAGAGAAGTAGTAGCTTTAGTGGGCCATCATGATTGGTTGGTGGGGCATCGTCCCACTAAATGACCCCCTGACGTCAGGACTATGAGGGTCTCTGAGCTGGCTGAATGTTTTCTCTCCATGATTGCTGGGGGAGATAAAAAAGGACATTTATTTGTTAATATTGTTTTGCCCCACCCCCTGGTGCACGGTGATGTAATAAAAATCATAGGTCGTTTCAGAGGCAGAGCTAAAGTCATTATGTTTTAATGGAAGATTACAGGCAAAAAGCAATTTAACCTTTTAAATTATATGATATGGCAAAACATGCTTAATATTACATGAACTACAAAGTACCAATTGTTGTAGACATACACTTAATAATCTTAATCTCAAGGAAGAGTCTTTCTTAAAAATCCAATGATTTGCCTTGTATGTCCAGAGACACGAAATTTGTTTATGCTGCTACTTTGTCCTAAAATGGTGCGTTATTGCCTTGTTGCTTCCTTTCAATAAATTGTAAAAAGAGTTGTGTAGATTGTAGCAGATCACCTAGTGGTCTTAATTATAAATAAAGGAGATCTTTCCTAAAAATCAAAACATCTGCTGCATTCTACGACCAGATGCCACCACATAAATCCTCGCTGTCATCTTGGTGCTTGGACCCCGCAGATTGCCACTTGCGGCTATATTTGGTGTATTGCTGTTGCTGTTTTGAAGATGCTTTTTCTTTTTTTTTGTTTCTTTTGCAATTGACTTTTATACTTCTTATACCAATTGCTGTATTTGTTACTGCAATGAATTGTAACTGCATATTAACTTAGTGAAATATGAAACTTAAAGAATGTATATTCACAGATCACAGAATGTAATTTTTGACTTTTTTAAAAATGTTCTTAATGTAATGATAAATTGGTCAATTAGCACAAATCTATTGCATTTTTTAATGCATAAGTTGGTATAGGAATATAAACTGTGTCCATCTGTTTGCAGGATCTACCGATTCTCAAAATCGAGAGTTTTGTGGTCCAGAACGTCGTCACACTGCAAAAGCAGTGGTACAGGAAGTGGCGTGATGTGACCTTCGCCATGCAGGAGTTCGACCTGACAGAAATCACTCCGGAGACGTGGGGGCTGAGGGAGTAGAGACAGCAGGACACAGCAGATTAATCAATAAATAAAATCACACTCGTACATCCATTTAAAAGAAGCTGCATGCACAGGAATATCATTGCGCTTCTCTAAAAGTCAAATGAATACGGCTTTACTGACATTTTAAGCAATCAGAAACAAAACGTCCGACAGCACGAACAGTCTTTTAACACACAAAACACTTAAAACAATAATATCAACCATATAGAACAACAATAAGGCTTATATAGTGTGGTGATGGTGCGAATGCGGGCTAACCTCGTAAATTAACAGCATAATCACCGTTTCCAGTTTCATCAGTATGTTTAGGACGTTTGTTAGACGTTAAATGAGGACAAGTACAGCTCTAGTTTTAAAAAAGAGCTGAAAAACAAAAAGGATGAGATGCAGTAAGTGTAGATGTTGGGCAGATTGTTAGATGACAAAGAAAAATGTAACAATATTTTTCTTTCTTTTTTTTTTTTATTTAGTCTGTTTCTTTCTTTCCTATCTGGGTTTGATTTCTGCACCCACCTCTTAAAATGCACTTAACTACTTAGTGAATTACTGGCGGCGAATGTCACAGCCAGGTGCGCTCGTAAAAATGAAGGTGGCAGTCAGGGTTCTTCTGAGTGATGTCATGGAAAAACTACTAAACTGGGTTCCTTAAAGGGCCAATTTACTGCAAACTTTTATTTACAAAATATTTTAGTGTTTTATTGTTATTTTAGCTTTTTCCTTGAGGTCTACTTATGGGCCATTCTACAGAAACGTCCACTTTCCTCTCTCCATAGGAGTCACTGGTGTTACTGATCGTCATTGGTGTTACACATAAGAAAGGGAACACCAGAGACATTTTTATTGAAAAACACATTTTACTAAATGTCTGCTACAGAGCATCAAACCACATGTTGTCAATCATGAAATATCCACTAAAATATGGAATTTAATCCATTTGTGTTCTGTTTTTTCACAATTACCTCAGAATAAAGTCGGTCACACCAGTGACTTCAGCTAAAAGCTTCATATGAAATCAGGAGCTAAATGAGAAAATCTCTGATAACTGAAAGACACAGTGGACTCACCATGTGCTTTTCTTCATAGATCCTCAGAAAACAGGTAAAAGGAAGTCAAGTGATGTCATCAGTGTGATTTTTATTTCAAAATAAGAGTTTATTTTTTGTTACGTGGTAACACCAGTGACACGACTCCTGGGGAACTTTTATTATATGTTTTATAATATTTATTTGGCATTTGTTTTCTTTATGGCATTTAATTCATATTTTCCATAGTCATGTAGAGATTATTGTAATTGAAATTGCAGAAAAACATTTTTTTCTTCAAAATATGGCCTCTTTACACATGACTGTGGGGACAAGCACTTCTGTGGTGCTTGGAATTCTAGATAATTGATTTAAAAACTAATATTGCTAAATTGAGGCTCAAGAAGGTGTAATTTTTAAAATAACGTATTGTTTTATTTTTAAATATAAATAAATTGTAGCCCTGACATGTTTTTGAAGTGTAATATATCTGTAAATGTTAGGGACACAAAAATGGGCATTTCTGTAGAATGACCCTTAGACAATTTGCATGTATATCTACGTTGTATGTTGTATATATGTTTTATGTACCAAAAACATAATTACTTTCATTCGTTTTATCATTTAGTTCATTCTAATTTCTCTCTATTGCCTGAAATTAAACAGGCTGTTCTTATTACTGTGCCTTTAAGACTGTTATATGTAAATGAGCTCTGTTCTGATTGGCTGGGCTGTATTGTGGCTCATTCAGAAGCACTACTGTTATCTTCAGCATGAGTAGGTGGGGCTTAATTGCTGTAGGCTTAATAGGCAGATTTATGTGAATGAGTCTTCTGTGACATCACCAAAAACGTCAGTTCAGGGCTGTTTTTACAGTTTAGTACATCTTTCTAAAAAAAGTGACGTAAATTTGGTTGTCAATGATACGGGCCCCTTAAAGTACCTTTCAGTGGATGGTTCTGTAAGGAACCCATGTTGTAAATGAACATCCTTTTAAAGAACCTTCATTACGTAAAGGTTCTATACCAGTTCCTCGAATCGTATCAAGCCAAGAACCGTTTAGTCACCTTTACTTCAGCTTTTTCCTGGCTTTCTTACTGAACTGTTTTAATGCATTAAACTGGATTCACCACCTCGACCTGCACATTAAAGTGTTTGTTTTTAGTGTTATATTCCTGTTGTTCCAGGCCGGAATGGGTCTTTAGGTGAGAGGGGCGAATAAGCCAGGGGTGGGATGCTGTCTGGGGTTAACCCTGATTATATTTTTTGGTTTGTAGACGAGTTCCAGTCATTAGAGTGTCCGTATTGGTACACGGTGATACTGTCGTAACGTGGTTAGGGATGATATCAGACTCATATCAGCAGATATCTGCCTTTGTAAAACTGCCTTCAGACAGATGTTTAGATTTGACTATTTCAAAGTGATTTTTGATTATGTATTATATGTATTACGTATTGAACCCCAGAAGAGCTGGATGTTTAGATGACGTTGGGTTAGTGTGATAAAATGTCTGCATTTTATTCATTTTTTTCCACTTGTTACAAAAATAAATGTCATATTTCTCTGTAATGTTAATGCAGGTAGATCTACTCCCAGTTTCTACATTTTATAAAGACACAGTGGGGCCGGAGGTCTGAGACCACATGGAAAATCTGGGATTTTCTTATCTAATCCTTTAAATAAAGAACAGAACATTTTTGAATTAAAAAAAGAAAAGTCATGATGAGTAAAAAAAAAGCAGAAATAGTGGGGACTCTGCACTGTTTCTAGGTCATTACTTACATTTACGCAAATTAGTGAAATTGACCATGTTCAGACCTTTGAGCAAAAAGGTCAGATTATTTTTAGATCTCTTCCGGTGAAGCTCGTGTTCCGACGACTCTCAGGTGGATCTGATCTGCTCATCAGAGGCTTCTGTCACTGTTAAGGGGGAAAAATACTAAGAAATTAGAAATTCATAGTAAAATTTCAAAGATTTTACTGTTCACTCAGATTGTTCTGCTGATAAAATCATTCGCAATAAAAAACATTGCATTAAATGAGAAAGGAATGAAAAAATAGAAGCATTTCACTCGTGCTTTCAGACGTTTGGAGCCCACTATATAAAGATTTCAGACATCATCAGCCCACAGTTTCCATTTAGTGGCCTCCTTAACTGTTACACAGCTTTTTGGTTTGTAGCAATATTTTAAACAATTTAGTGATATTTTTTGTTGTTTGATGGGAAGTGAGCTCTGTGTCCGAATGTCAGAAAAGTGGTTTATTTCTAGTTTTTGTTTATTCTATTTTATAGTATCCAGGACCTGTTAACTGTTTCATAGATAAATGTACTAAAATCCAAATCCAAAAATGAAAAATTATGAGTTTTCTGGTGAGCATTTACAATTCAGTGTGGCTTTCAGAGAAGAAAACAGAGCAAAACGAGGTACGTCAGGTTTGTAATACATTCTTTCAGCATTCATTAACTTTATGAATGTTAACATAAACATCTGAGAATATGGTGATGCTGGATTGTATCCGAAGCGACCAGCGCTTCTGTAGACGGTGAAAGAAATGGAGGCGCAGCAGTGCAACACTGAAGCAACCTGCTCACATTGTTGTTGTTTTTTGTTTTGCTGATTTTAGTAGCTGTTGTTACCGTTTCTTATGATTATTATTTTATTTTATTGCATTTTCTTTGTATTTTTTATTGCATTTTTTACTGCCTGACCCTGAGCTTCATCCGATAGGTCGATTAAATAAAGATGCTGTTGGGAATAAAACATATCTCTCCTCCTCTACCCCCCATCTCTCTCTCTCTCTCTCTCTCTCTCTTTCTCTCTCTCTCTCTCTCTCTGATGTAAATCATCCACAGAGTGAAGGCATCTGCCGCCCCTCCCACATTCTAGAACACAGGGTGCTCATGTCATTGTAATTCATGTTGCCTAGCAACGCGGGAGTCGTCATAGAAGCCCAACAATAAAAGGATGACATGTACAGTGATCTGCTCTAAAGCTGAAATATTCCACCATCTTCCGCCATCTTTCTCTCCCCCCTGCTGTAGCGCAGGCTCGCTCGCCCGCCGTTCATTATTCCTCCTTACTGAGAGCTCTCAGACCTGTTATTAGAGCCCTGTACACCCCCCCCCCACCCCCGCACCCCACCAGCAGCGGCTGTCCGGTTACCACTTTTCAAAAAAAGCCTCTGACGGATCAGCCAGAGAAAATATGAGTGATATTACATTTCAGAGTGAGAGGGGTGTTTCCTCAAATCTCGCCTCCTTTTTTTCCTCTGAAACCAGCCCTTTGTGTCGACAGGGGAAACCATTTTACTTGCGCGAGAGCGTTTATCAAAATGGATTCCAGAAGATGGATATGAAATCCATCTGTTGGCCTTGAAAAAAAAGGAAAGAGAAAAAAAAACCCCACAGTGACGTAGTCGAGCATTTTGCTGCATATGAACAATGGAGTTGCTGAGAGAAAGAGAGAGAGAGAGAGAGAGAGGCAGACAGATCACACTCAACACCCGGAGTTTTATCCTAACAGTCTTTTATTAATCAAGACAGTAAGGCATCACAACAGCAATGTACAAAGTTATTTAAAGTCTTTAATTAAAACCAAAAACACGTTTTCTACCCATGCAACAGTGAAAGTGTTAGAGTGTGGACTGAGGCCGAGTCTCTGGCTGCTTTCAGACGCCAGCGCGACTTTATCTTTGCTCACTAGCCCGTGTTTATCTGACCTCTCCGTGTGGAGTCTTAACAGCAAATAGAAAATCCAGAGGAACCTGATTTCCCTTCGTTCCGATTTGGACCACATCTGTATCTCCTCACAGCTGTTTCAGCAAATGACCACAATCTCTCCTCTTTCGATCTTTCTGTCTTTCTTTCGTTTGTTCTTTCTTTCGGTCTTTTCTCACTTTCTTTGAGGTATGCCTGTAGAGGTGCTGCAGAAAGTGAAGAATGCTAATCTCTCTTGCTACGTTTGAACATGTGTGGTAGTGGACAGAAGTGTGTGTGGTAGTGGATTGGAGTTTTTGGTGGATTATAGTGTGTGGTAGTGGATTGGAGTGTTTGGTGGATTATAGTGTGTGGTAGTGGATTGGAGTGTCCGTGGTAGTAGATTGGAGTGTTTGCTGGATTATAGTGTGTGGTAGTGGATTGGAGTGTGTGGTAGTGGATTGGAGTGTTTGCTGGATTATAGTGTGGTAGAGGATTAGAGTGTTTGCTGTATTATACTGTGTGGTAGTGGATTGGAGTGTGTGGTAGTGGATTGGAGTGTGAGGTAGAGGATTAGAGTGTTTGCTGTATTACAGTGTGTGGTAGTGGATTGGAGTGTGTGGTAGTGGATTGGAGTGTTTGGTAGAGGATTAGAGTGATTGCTGTATTACAGTGTGTGGTAGTGGATTGGAGTGTGTGGTAGTGGATTGGAGTGTGTGGTAGAGGATTAGCGTGTTTGCTGTATTACAGTGTGTGGTAGTGGATTGGAATGTGTGGTAGTGAATTGGACTGTTTGGTGGATTATAGTGTGTGGTAGTGGATTGGAGTGTGCGGTAGAGGATTAGAGTGTTTGCTGTATTATAGTGTGTGGTAGTGGATTGGAATTGTGTGGTAATGGATTGAAGTGTGTATGATAGTGGATTGGTGAGTGGTAGCAGATGTATTGTGTGTGGTCGTAGGTGTCAGTGTGTAGTATCAGATGTGAGAGTGTGTATGGTAGTGGATTGGTGTGTGTGGTAGCAGAAATTAATGTGTGGTAGCAGATGTTAATGTGTGTAGTAGTAGATGTTAGTGTGTGGTAGGGGATTGATGTGTGTGGTAGCAGAAATTAGTGTGTGGTAGTAGATGTTAATGTGTGTAGTAGTAGATGTTAGTGTGTGGTAGGGGATTGATGTATGTAGTAGTGGATGTTAGTGTGCATGATAGTGGATTGGAATACGTGGTAATGTGGTGTGTTGCAGTGGATTGGAGTGTGTGTGGTAGTGTGATGGATTGTGTGTGTGGTAGTGGATGTGAGTGTGCGGTAGTGGATGTTAGTGTGCATGATAGTGGATTGGACAATGTGGTAATGGATTGTGTTGCAGTGGAGTGTGTGTGGTAGTGTGATGGATTGTGTGTGTGGTAGTGGATGTGAGTGTGCGGTACTGGGTTGGCATGTCTGTGGCCTTTAGTTGAGAGATTGGGGCAGAAATTCTTCTGCATATTCATCCAGTGTCGACCGTCCAGAGAGAGAGAGAGAGCGATCCAGTCTAATCCGTGCTGAGATTCTGACTCCGGCGAGTTTATTCCTGATTTGCGGAGTGAGGAAGGGAGTCCAGTGGAATGACTTCAAGTGACCGTGCGGAGTTCTGCTGTGTTCTGCTTGGTTGTCCGTTTTTTTGTGGTCCGATGTGTGTTCTTTTCCGGTTCTTGGGGATCCTCCATTGGTGTTGTTTCAGAAGAACCAGCGGAAGGTGTCTGCTGCTCCCACAGAGGAGGCTCTCTGTGAGACACAAACACACAGGATATTAGAGGAATGAGTGCAGCTCACGGACACACGAGCACCTCTACACAGCGCGATGGCCAAACTTTTGGGCTCCGTCTCAAACCACACACTACTACACTGCACATACTATGCTGATGAACATACTGTTAACGACGGTGTGCTGTTCCTGATGTACTATTTAGTGCGCTAGTATACAGTCTGAGATGTGGCTTTTTTGTCTTGGAGGGCCAAAAGAAAACATATTCCTCACGGGCCAACTTTGGCCTGCAGGCCGCACTTTTACAGCCCTGCTTTACACCAGTTTAGACTCAGAAGTCAAAGTCATGAAATGTGGAAAAAACAACTAAATTAATCAGTGTAGGACAAGTTTGCTGTGTCTGAAGGAGTCAGTGCTTCTCAAACTGGTCCACATTTTACTCTATCAATACTTCTTTCAAGTGGATTGGAGCAAAAATCTGGACCCGTCTGGGGGTCCCTCAGGACCACTTTTAGAACTACAGATTTAGCGTAAATAAAATTCTAATTCAGCACACAAAAAAAAACTCCACAAAAACAACTTAAAACTCATGTTTTAGCCAATTAGGCCCTATTCAGATACTGATAAGAGACTACAGTATAATTTATCTAGTTTTGAATGTGAGGAGTTGAAGTGTGGACCCACGTAAGTGTTACTAGAGTTTAAGGGGTTAAGTATATACTTAAGTTAATATCAGCATGATGCATTAACACCTTTAGCCTCCCAGCTAAACCTCCCAGAATTCTTTGAAAAATGGCATAGAACCACTTTTAGTTCCCTAAAGAGCCTTTCAGTGGATCCTTCTTTAGAGAACCACTTTCTGCAAATGATATGTGAGCGTGTGGAGAACCTTTTGAGAGCCTTCACATAAGTTAAGGTTTCTAGACAGAACAGTTCCTTAAACCTTTAAAAGGTTCTTCATGCTCGCACATCTCATTTACACGAATGGTTCTCTAAAGGAGCACTCTCTGAAAAGTTCTTTGGAGAACACGTGGCATTCCTCAGGGAGCTTTGATAGCCGGTCAGATGATGACTGCCCTCTTCTTGTACTTCTGTGCTGCCACTTTCGTGCTGAATTGGTAGTGAATTCAGACACGAGCATGGAGCTCCAGTCAGACAGGTTCCTCAGCGCTAGCCCGGCAGGCCTGAGGGTGAGCGGCTCGACTGCTACTGCAGCGGGAAAAACGCACAGTCTGACAGCATGAGAACGTGGAAAGAAGCAGGCGTTTGACCAGCTGGTGGAGAAATATTTCTCTCCATCTGCTCCCACAGGCCGGTTCAAGGGTCCTTCCATGTTGCCATGCTGGCACGGTCCTTTAGACACGCAGCTCGCCATCTCAGCGCAAACACGAACCAACCAGACCCCACACACACTCCCCTTCAGCGCCTGCAGGCCTGCCAGGAGATACTCCACCATTCCTCAATGATTTAAACATAACCTTAATATGGCTAATAACCAGTGGCAACAGGAACCGAGCAGTTAAACATCCTTAAATCCACTTTAACTGCTTAACCCCAGGCTTACTATTCCGCTAATATGTACTGTATGAACTAATATGTCACTGCTGTTGGAGCAAAACCTCGTATCTCCATTTTTGTTGTTTTTCAGTTTTTGACATGATTTGAAAATGCCTGTCGTCCTTTACACTGTTTCTATGACCCAAAATTACTTGGAAAAATGTCTGGTTCCATTGACTTACATTAAAAGTAAAGTAGGTTTTTTCCTTCTCCTGTAAAAGTTACTATTTTGGAGATACGAGGTTTTCTTCCGACAGCAACAATGTACTATTCTGTAGTTCGAAATTACCGGCAGGTCCTTAAAGTAAAGGGTTATACATTTCACTTTTTGTTAGATTAGAAAACCGTTAGTTTTTAACAAAGCAAATTACAGAAAAATATTAAATGACACTAAACGTATTAATCACCAGGTCTCTGACTAGCTACGCTAGCAGTAACACTAGATTTAAGTTACATGGAAGAATGTTAGCATGTAAACTAGGGCTGTGGTCTAAAACCACTCACTAATGTTTCATTAGGCAGTGTTAGCAGACTTGCTAATGCTTGTTAGATGCCACTTTTTGGTAAATTTAGATAGCTAGCTTAGCTTTCTAACCAGCTAGCTGTTATTTTTACCACATTAGTAACTCAGATAACTGACTGATGATCACTTAGCTAATGTTAGCGCTAGCCTAGCTAATGTTATGGTTGTTCAGATATACTCTAACGAGTCATCACAGAATTAGCATAATTAGCGGTAATGAAAAGGCTAGCTTCATTTAGCGCAGTGTAAAAGCCCCCACCCAACGTCGCCTCTTCACTTCCACACAAAACTAGCCACCCATGTTTACGTCATGATGACTGGCAGCTGCTAACTCAGAACCCTGAAGGACAGTGTAGAACCAGAAATATAGCGCCAAAAAGAGTTCTTCTATTGTTATGATGTCAAACTTGTAGCAATAGAAGAACCCTTTTTAGTGCTATATAGAACCCTTTTGAACCATATACAGCGCATTCACCATGGGTGTGAGGAACCATTTTCACAATGCAGAGAACGCTTTAATCGTGCAAAGGATTCTTTGAGTGTTCAAGGCTCTATATAGAACCATTTTCTTAACTAAAGAACCCTTGAAGAACCTTTATTTTTAAGTGTGTAGGAGTCACTGGTGCAAAATTACGCCAGATAATACATATGGTGTATTTTTGTCTGTTACCAATGTCCAGTTAATAGACAAATGGCTTTGGATAAGACATAAAATGTGGCCTGTGCAAAAGTTTTGGCACACTTTATGTTTAATGTTTTATATACCTAAATAAAACGTCTAATAAATTAGCAAAACATGCTACATTATGTTTGTTCTCTGTGGAGGAACTTATTCAACAAAACATATAATTCGACCAAACTTTGATACTCCAATGATGGGCTCAGTTTTACGTTTACGTTGCCGTATGTTGGCCGCTGCCTCTTAAGGTTGGTCCCCCCACTGGTCAGACCAGATTTGCACCCCCGTTAGCAATGCTACGGTTCTTCTGAACCACGTTCCGTCCACTGAGGGCTGCAGTGTCTACAGGTATTTGCGCCTAGACATTTACTAATTAAGTTCTCTCCTTCATTAACAAAGACGGCTCCGGCGGCGGCGCACAGTGCTGGAATGAATACCCACACTCTCCCTCTGAATGGGCTGAGGATCCTTGGTC